CAATGGCTGGTACAGGGCTCTTCCCTGGGTTAGAACCCCAGCTCTGTCGCATCATAGATGTTTGACCTTGGATAAGTTATTGCACTACCCTTTGCCAAAACAGTTTGTTTTCCTAACCTGTGGAATGGTGGCTAAGATCCACCTTTGAAAAAGCAAAGGCAGAAGCTCTACGTCACAAAGATTTTATAAGGCTTAAAACATTCAGAACAGCGCCCAGCACATAACACCTTTAAAGGAGTTTTTAAAATAAATATGTGGTATACTCATACACATTGTAGATAATGTCTCCCAGCTACCCTAGTGTGGGAGGCACTGTTTCCAAGTCTGGCTCCTAACTTTGTCCAACTCTTTTCTTCAGTAATTCATAGATATTATTCCTGGGCTTTATTTCTTACACAAAATCTCCCTCAAATTGACTATGGTTCATCACTCAGATTGTCAAAAAACGAGTTTCTTGTAAAGATATCCATTAGTAAGACAAATTCTTTTATGAATTTTTTAAAATTTGGGTTCAACTAACATTCCTTGAGGATGTACCACACTTTTCTGTGTTACCATGTGTGATACTACTGTAGATTAATTCCTTCAACTCTTACAAGTCTGTAAAAGCAGACAAAGTTATACCAAGTGAAACAGACCCAATTTCATTAGCTTTTGCCTCATAGCTCCATACCCCATCCCTAAGTTTATGTCTAGGAGCCCTCAGGCATCTCACGTGGGTCCCGCTCTCATGGAGATCCATCACACCTCCATCATTTCCAGAGGCTACCTTGTGATTGCCAGGATCTGGGGAAGATCCACTCTTCCATATCCCCCAAAGCTGTTGGCCTATTTTTCATGCAGCATCCATGATGCTGTTTTTGAAGCAAAATCAGAGAAAATGTTCCTCTCTCCCGTAGAGTATCACAATTTGTTACCTGGCGACCAAGAGTGCCCCCTTTACATTGAGTTCTTGATGTAAAAAGATTCTTGCATTGCTGCCTGCCGCCCGTCTCTCTACTGGTATAGGCATAAGTCCCAGAAGCCTGACTGGAGGATGTGACTTTCCCCACCCTGATTTCTCCTGGCACCTTCTCCTTCAGGAAAACAACAACACAAAACCTCAAGCAACTTGGTGTTTTGTTTTGTTTTGTTTTGTTTTGTTTGAGATGGAGTGTTGTCCAGGCTGGAGTGCAGTGGTGCAAGGGCTCACTGCAAACTCCAGCTCTCACGTTCAAGCCACTCTCCTGCCTCAGCCTTCCGAGTAGCTGGGAATGCAGGTGTCCATCACCATGCCGGGCTAATTTTTGTATTTTTAGTGAAGATGGGGTTTCACCATGTTGCCTAGGCTAGTCTCAAACTCCTGACTTCAAGTAATCTACCCACCTCAGCCTCCCAAAGTGCTGGGATTATAGGCGTGAGTCACCTCACCTGGCAGAAATCTCAAGCAATTTGATTCTGAAACGCCAGCCCATGCCTTCGCCAAAATATTCCCTAACACATCTAAGTCATAGTAGAGGATAGAGAAAGGTACTTGATCTTGACGTCATTGTTCCTAGATTGCATCTACTTCTTCCGCATTTTTGATCATCTAAATAGAGTTTATTACAGGGATTTTTTTTCCTGTAAAATTTACTTCCAGTGTTTAATCCATGTACGATCAATTCCAGGGATATTACGTTGAAAATCAGTCTTCTGGGTGATGGATGAATCATAAATAAGTACTTGTTCAATATAATAATGGGTTAAGATTACATTCCCTGTTTTGTAAAACTTTTAAAGCTCAAAGATAAAAGCTGTTCACCTATCACCTTTTATCACTCATCTGTGATGCCTGATTGCAAGAGAAAGCCGAGGTGATCAGGTGCTGGACCAGGAACTGATTGTCTTAGGAAAAGGAAAGCGAGCTTGTCTTGTTTCTCTAAACCTGCTGACACTTGGCTTCCTGGGGACATTGATTGGACCAGCTAACGTTTGCCGTCTGTTCCTCTTTAAAGCAATCAAAAAGCCACCCTATCTGTTAACCTTGGCAGTGTTTAGCTTGTAGATCACTCTTAAGTCCTCTATCCAGAATGTTTTCATACAGTGGTTACATTAATGATTCAATCAGCCCAATTAACTAGATTTTTAATTGCAATACGTCTCTTATTCTCCAAAGCCCAAAAGTAAAGAAAGGTATTTGCTTAATCTGAGGCCATTAGTAACTTCATGGCAGTGTGGGCTAGTCCATGATCTGATGGAGAATGGTTTAAATTTTACTCTTTTGAGATTTTGAGAACATGGGAGTTACTTGATTTCAGAAATATTTGATACATTAATAGCTACTAAATGCATGCTACTGGGAGAACCTAAGCATTTCATCTAGTTGGCAATTAGATCATGTTTAGGATATGATTACTCAGATGGAAAATTAGCTTTATCCTTAAAAAATATCCTATGAACTGACAACTTAGAGTCTTTGAGGGATAAGTAAATCAGCCGTGAAACACAAACATTTGTTGTCACATCAATGGCAAGAAGCCTTCCTGGTTTCATTTAGAAGGGTTTGATGGTTGCCTTCAAAGTGGTTGGAAGCTCGAACACAATAAACACTTTGAAGCACATTGCTTTGTCCTCCTCCTGCCTTAGGCCTGTCTGTTTCTGGTCTAGATTAGCACTGTTTGTCTTTTTTTTCCCCTTTCTTTCTTATTTTCTTTCTTCCTTTCACAATGGAAGAGTTTCCCCTTAATGACTGCCTTTATCCCATGTGAGTACCAAGCTTTTCAAATGGTTTAGACTGTGGAACTCAACTGTGTTGAGACAACTTCATTAATGAAAGGCGTATTCCATGAGACCCTTTGTTGCCACATTATAGTATTTGTGTTAGAACATTGGGTCCCCCACATACAGGCACCACCACCACCATGAGAGCAAGAATTACAGGAGGAAATTAACTCTAGCCCTGGGTGGCTTTTTCATTGCTCTTTCCTTACAATGATGGGACATTCTCTTAACACTTCCCCTGACTTCTTCCTGAGAAGTTAGCTAAACCGAAAAACATTCTTCATCATTTTTCTTCAATCAGTTGGCCTAATATTTCTCAAAACCACCTCCAGATTTCAACTGCCAAGTTTTCTGCAAGAAAAATGCTTCTCTGGTATCTGCTGAGAGAATCTGAAGTCATGGTGGAACACCCAGGACATCATCAAACGGTGCAATCGTTCATTTCTAAGAAGCCTGAAACAGCTCTGGTTCTTTGCTTGTGGACAAACAGTTTGCCTTTCCTATTTTTCTTACTCTAGGCATTAATTACAGGACAATGAACAAACGCCTAAAAGGGCGCAGTGGAGAGTTTCTAATGAATCTTGACTTATCGTGGCTGAAAGAAGTCTTGAAGTTGGATTAATGTAGAAACACTGGAATTCTATTAAAGAAGCTGGAACTTGATTTGATAGAAAAAAAGAATTATTACACTGTTCTGTTCCCTTTTGTCAGTTTGTATAACTCTTCATACAATTGTTTTCTAAGAAAGAATTAAACTCCTGCATGAAATGGATTTAGAAGTTAAATGATGACACATTCTCTCTTTCTTGGTCCCATATATATGTGTACAGATATCATATATACACACGTATTTATACATATTATGTACGCATGTGTGTATATGTATCTACATACATATATGTGCATATTCAAAGCAGTTTTATACCTGACTTTAACTTTGTTTTCTTTCAGTAATTTTCATATTGTGATAATAGCCATATAAATTTCATTACAAAGTTACTCATTTATAATTAAGTGAAGTTTTTACCTCATCCTTAAAATATATTCACTGTTAAACTTGGCAGGAAATAAACGCTAATGCAAGTGATCATGTGTGCCCCGTAGGCACAAACACACACACACACACACACACACACACGTCACTGCCCATAAAGTAAAATAAAGTACTTTGGAGTATCCTTAGCAAAATATGAGACTAGCAAGATAAGACAAAGTAATAAATATGAAGTAAAACTAACAATTCCCATTTTCTAATTTAAAAAATAGAAACTTTCCTGCTAAAGTAAAAAGAGTTTAGGGTAAACTTGGCATTTCACTGGGAGATAAATGCCAGTGAACTATCTGGTGAGTATGAAGTGTCTCTGTGTTAAAAAGTTATAAGTGACTTAAACACTCAATCCACTCACCCCCTTACTTGGCATTTCACTCACCCCCTTTTTCTCTCTACATAAGAAAATTAACACAAAAATGCAATAATGGAGGAACAAAAAGAAAATTAACTTTAGATCTGAATACAGACCTGGGTTGGAATTTTAATTCCAATTAATGTTACTCAGCCATGCCTTAGATTTATCTGTAAAAACAGCGATAACAACTACTGTGCATGGTAGTTAAAAGGAAGCTATGTGAATATCAAATGAGGTGACACATGGGACATTCCTGGGCCAAATGAGCATTTGTGGAAGTTACTTTCTCCATATAACCTCTGAGATTGGCACAGATAATAAAGAAAAATCATAGAAGAAAAGGTCGACCTACCAATTAATGCTTGACCTTACTTTTATAATTCCAAATCGGTCCTGTTGGTCCCGGTAATAAGACTAAGTACATTTTCTCCCCATGTATATAGTTCTCTAGCTCTAGTTGCTTTATGCGTTTCCAGTTTTCTAGCTAGAAAGGAAAGGAGGAAGAAGGAAGGAAGGAGGGAAGGAATGGATATGTCTTTATTTCCTGTGAGTAGCTGCCACTACAGTTGAAGAAATGGTAAATTAACAGAAGAATAAAATATAAATATTGCTGATCCAAGCATCTGCAGCCCATTACCAGCCGCTGTAATAGCAATATCTATTCTTTTTCTACTTGAGCTCTCTCTCACTCCACCTTTTGTTCTCTTCCACATTCAGTCTGTTTCTCATCCTCTTCTGGATGATTACAGTAAAAACAAAATTGTCACCCAGCAAAGGATGTGTCAATACGTGTGCAAAGCTGATAATGGAAAATCAATAAGTAAGACATAAAATAAAAATAAAAATAAAAAATACATCCCAAACAGGTCTTTTTATTTAATATAAGGCCAAAGAAGCTATCAGGCGTTGCTGAATACTGTCCACTAACTGTACAAAATATTGACTGCATGCCTCGCAAACACCAAAATATCCGCTGGAATGCCATAGAAATAAATAACTTCTGCTATAAACACATGAAAACATATCAAACTGTTATCTCTTTAAACATATTGTAAATAAAAAATTACCAGTACTTCTACACAATAAATATTAAGAAACCATTGACATAGTTGAAATGCACTCATATAAATTAACAACTTTAATTACATTAGCCAAACAGACATTGGTTAAAGAACTGCATGTAGTATGCAAAAACAAAACAAAAACAAAAACAAAAAAAAACAAAGTAAAAAAACCAACAAAATAAAAACGAACAACGTCAACCACAGAACATAAAAAGTTTCAAAATAAAACAGGCTTCAGATTATCTTGGCTTTCATAATTATATTTTTCTTTTAAAGAAAAATATCAACCCATTGTCAATGCACTGTTTTTCAAAGCATTTAAATAGAGGGTAAAACCCACTGGAAATTAATACAGAAGAAATGATTCACTTTATGCATAAAAATAAATAATAATATAGCTGAGACATGTGGTTTGCTTCTGCTCTTGAAGATGTGAACAGCTTCTAAGCATTCAATTTCTCTGACCCATACAACAGCTTCTCAGTGATACAGGGTTTAATTTAAACACATACAATGTCCACCCCCAAACCTTCTGCCCACATCTACAAGTTTCATTTATTTGGTGGGTTTTCAGGGTGACTAAGTTTTTCTCTACACTGAAAAGAGAAGTTGCCAAAAGGTGCACAGGAAATCATTTTTTAAATGAATATGATAATATCGATCCATGCTTAATACAACTGAGACATATTTGTTCTCTGTTTTTTAGAGTCACCTCTTAAAGTCCAATCCCACAATGGTGAAAAAAATATTATTTGCTCTACTGTTAAGGAGACTGCAAGGATTCTCCTTGAAAATGGAATATGGAATCAATCTTAAATAAACATGAAATTGGTTGGTCTTCTGGGATAAGAAATTCCCATCTCAGCGTGCTGGAATTCACCCTACTTTTTGGGGAAAAAAAAAAAATAGAAAATGTCAGTTTGGTCCATAAAATATGTGTTACTATTAAAAGATATCTGAAGACACATGCTTTTCAGGGCTTCTAAGATTGGTTTGGGCAGATTTTTAAGAGCCTAGAGTTTAGCCTTAGAGAAAGAGTGAGGAAATAGCAAGGTTAGATAGCGCCACTCTGGTTTCAAGAAAAAACATACTAAGAACCTCATATGGTAGAATTTAAAAACCTTTACTTTTGGCCTCTTGCTGCTAGGTGAAAGAGTACTTGTTCACAGGGCTTGTATTTTCCAATATTATTATAGATGGTAAAATGATATCTTTCAATACTATCAAAAAATGGTAGCAATTTATACATCTATTTCAAAGCCATATACATTTAATTAAACAAAATCAGTTTTTGGGTGTTTGATAACCCAATCATTAAATATCCAGTTAATTTATGGAATAAGTTTCAAATAAAATATGGAATTACATTTCTCTGCTTCTAATAACTGTGGTCACTAATCAACCGCCATGTTAACCCCAAAATATCTAGGACTTAGCTGAAAAAGATAGCAGATGTATTTGAGATGAATGGGAACTATACATGGGTATCAGCTGTCTTTGTAAATTTCTGCTTTTTCCATGGCCTTAGCCATCTCTGCTACTGCACAGTGAACTAGGACTTAATTTCTCACACTGTTTCTGCAGATTCCAGTACCGAAGAAGACGTGGTTCAAAATGCTGCCAGTTTTCCATGAAATTTTGTAAAGCTGAACATGGCCATCTACTTTTGCCTTAAAACTTTTCTCACCACACCCACCTTCCCACATGCATGATATCCAAGGTCAATGGACCCCGATTAGAATCCATTCTCAATCTTCTCATGCAGTGCCTATTATATTTTCTGCATAAGAAAGGGTGGCCCCTAGAATATAGTAAATGAACTTGCCCAATAGTGACGTTGCCTACATATAGCCTAGCGTTACAGTATACCAACTTAGTCTACTTTTCAACAAGAGATAAACCACTTTTTGTAATGTTTCGTTTCTCACTGATACCTTTTCCTATAATAATTTTTTAATCTACAAATTGACATGGGGCTAAAAGCTTCAATAGTTTACAAAATATTAATGAATATAATTGTTCCCAATTATCAGAAACTTTTTTTCCATTTTTCAAAATATTTGCCAACTTCACACAAGTCTGTAAAAATAAGGCTCTGTATTTTCAAAAGCACAAAAATGAATAATTTATTACCTCTTCTAGGCAAGCTAAGTACTAGAATAAACTAGATAAAAACGTGGCTTTAAGCACGTACTTTGATATTTATAAAACAAAGTTATTTTTTTCCTCTTTGCATCTGAATCAATACAAATTTACACATGAAGAGTTTTGGCTATAAATTAAAATATTAGAGGTTTTCACTACTTGCCCTCGTCTTTGCCTCCTCTTAACTGTTCTTTTCCTTACTCTCTCTCTCTCTCTCTCTCTCTCTCTCTTTCTCTCTCTCTCTCTCTCTTTCTCTCAGCACTTTCTCATCAATTAATTCTTTTAATTAGTGACAACATTACTTTACCCAGCTGGTATGGGTAATATATCTCACAACCAAGCCTGAATCATTTTTTAAAAATGCACTAAATTCTAATTCTGGCCTAAGTATTATTTTTTTCTCAAAAATCTTCTGATTTAAGATTGATTCCAATAGACAGTAAGTTGGAAAAATATCAGCCCAGAGCTTTTCTTATCATCCTGTTTTCCCCACAGGGGATAACTTGTAGAAGTGGGAGAAGGGACAAGAAAGAGGAGGCAGTCTGATCCCTGTACATCGAAAGAGGGCCTTGCTGAATATTTGCTGGAATTTCCAGGCTTTTTCCCATCCAAATGTTTTAAATGTGCCCACCTAGTTCAGAGTAAAAGCAAAAACTATAGCCTATTCATCTTAAAAATACTGTGTTTTGCACACAAACATTCATTGCTTTAAGGACATTAAAAAATGACAGCCTGAAGTGCTTAAAATGTGTATGGACATGGTACAATACATGTATATATACACACAGATATGCATATGCACAAGCAATGTATATATACACATACAAGCATGTAGCTCCATGAAGCTGATTGAACTTGATATCCAACAGTGTACAACTACTGTACATGCAGTATGAAATGTCCTGTTTCGTGGATGTAAAAGGAGTCAAAAACCAAACTTCTCAGGTCTTTTAAGCCTGAACACAATCCGCACTACTCCCAACCCCTGACTTATTGATGGTAAATGATACCAACCACAGACAGACTGTTTAAAGGCTCACACAAATGTCTTTGGTGTATGTGTCTATTTTTTAAGGTACAAAATAATAATAATAATTATAATTATAATAATAAAAATAGCTATTTTGTGTGCTGTAGCAGTTCTTTTATAGCTCACATTAAGTGCAGCTCTTAAACCCCACCCCCACCCCCACCCAAAGAAAATACTTGTTAAATAAGGATTAGACAGGTCAAACACCATTGTAGTGCAAATAGTAAACGATTAAAAACAACAACAACATTTACAAAATATAGAAATGTTTGGATCCAACAGATGGACAAACATATTCCTTTCAAGTATCTCTCCTTGAAGAAAATAAAAATTAATCAGATTACTTCCAATACAAAAAAAGTCTCTCTTTTTGTTCTCTCTCAGGTAAACAGTTTCAAACCTATTAGGTTGCATAGTTCTAAGATCATAAGCACCTTAACGAAATGTAACTTGGTTTCTCTTTTCCATGATCTTTCATTCTTTCCATGCTTGTTCTCAATTTTTTAATGTTGTTTGTTTTGTTTTGTCTTGTAGCAAAAGTGGTACAGAAAAAGGAAGTGTGACCACCTGCACACGATTAGTGTGTGTGTGTGTGTGTGTGTGTGTGTGTATGGTGTGTATGCTGATATACACAGAGATAAGTGTCACACAGACATACCTTATGACCTGGGTAATTGGGTAGGAAAGTGCCTGTGATGGGCCCTTTCAAACTCATGGCTTTCTAGATGCTATTTGGGTTGTTCTAGTCCACACTACTGCAGACTGGACTAGTTGATTCAAGGCTCACAAGGGAACTGCAAGGGGGGGAAAGGACAATACCCCTTTTAAACAACTGATGTCATCAGTGTGATTTTAGAAGAAATGAAGGGTACATCATTTTTCCTTCCCCTCCCAATTCCTGTCTCTTTCACTGCTTCATCTCTGAGCCCTGGCTAAGGATTTTTTTCCCATATCTTCCTTCATCTGTTTCATCAGGTTTTGTTTTTAATTTACTTTTTTGTTTTTGTTTTTGTTTTTTTTTTAATTTCTATTTTTCTGGTTAACTCAGAAACCTTAAAAATTTCTTCATTTTGCCACTGTCTTCTCTGGATAACTCTTGCTCCCTTTCCCCCTGGGCTGGGCAACTCTACGAGCACCCGCACTCCTCCACGATCATGTTCTGAATGTCCTTTTTGATGATGTTTTGACCATCATCATAGTACAACATGGACATGGGTCTCAGCTTGGTGGGCACACAGCACGATTTGAGGTTGGCAAAGGGGCTGTGGCCCCGCATGCGGTAGTGGTTGATGACTGTCGAGTGGAAGGACAGCGAGGACCCGGATGTGCCTGCTATATGGCTCGGGCACTCACCCTCGCAGTAGTTGGCATGATAGCCAGAGGGAGCAATGATCCAGTCATTCCAGCCGATGTCCTTGAAACTGACAAAGAACTGTTTCTTACAGCAGATGTTGACCTTGCCGTCACACTCTAAGCCCCGCCGACGCCGGCGATGAGGGTGGTCTTCAGACTGCCGGGCCTGCAGCATGAGGAAAGGTCTGTGCGACTGCTCCTTCTCCTCATCTGCTCCTGCCCCACCTTCACCTCCACCCTTCTTTTTCCCTTCCCCTCCTCTTCTTTCTTCTTCTTCTTGCCCAGGAGCACCAGGTTGGCGCCACTCTCCTGGCACTGCTCACAGGCAATCCGAACGTCCAGGGAGCTCTTGCCCTGGTCCAACAACCGCTGGATGCTACTGGAGACAGGGAAGACGTGCCAGGTGCTCTTCCGAGCGTCTACCACTTTTTCAGAGAGCAACAGTTCACTCCTCTCCCCCTTTAAGCCCACTTCCTCGGTCTCCTCCCCTGTGTCCAAGATGCCCTGTGGGTGCTTCTGCTGCTGGAAGAGACGGATGGTGACTTTGGTCCTGGTTCTGTTGGCCTTGGGGACTTTCAGGAAGAGCCAGACTTCTGCACGCTCCACCACTGACAGGTCACTGCCTTCCTTGGAAATCTCGAAGTGCAGCGTCTTCCTGGCTGTGCCTAATTATGAAAGACAGCATAAGAGAAAACAGGGACACCTGTTAATTCCAACTTTAACATGCATTCACAAATTCCAGACAAGCAGGAGTCTTCTGTGATAGACCCTCTCCAACAGGGGTCAGCAAATAATAGCCCACAAGCCGTGACTGCTTCTGTACGTTAGTGCCTGTACATAAAGTTCTGCTGGAGCACAACTATGCTCATGTCTGTACATGCTGCCTGCGGCTGCTTTTGCGCTATAAACCAGAGCTGAGTTGCTGCAACAGACTGGCTCATGAAGCCTAAACTAGTTACTCTCCAGCCCTTTGCAGAAAAAAGTTGTTGGACCCTTACTTTAGAATGAAGAGGGCCTGAGGGTCTGTGTCTGTTGACTAATTGCTTAACCTCAGTTTCGTCTTCTATAAAATGGGAATGACATAATGACATTTGACCTGTTATCTCACAGGTTGAGGAAGATCAAATGAGATAATAGAAACAAAAAGACCGTGCAAGCTCTAGAAAGCTAAGGAAATGCTGTTCTCAGACAAAAATGCAGCCCCTGGCCCCACCTCAGTGTGTAGGTCTGTGCAGGAGGGACACACTGAGCCAGCCTCCTCTTCCCGTGTCACAGCCTGACTCCTCCCCAGTCACCTCTTTGCTGGGTCACCAGCAGCATTTTCTTTACTTTGCTTCTGCTTGACCGAGACAGGCCTTCTCTCCAGTCATTTCTCCATAAGCAGCTCAAAGGATCTTTCCTGCAGGTGGATCTGATCACACCACTTCTTCCTGAAAGTCCTTTACTGACTTCCTATTGCTCTCAGTATCTAACAGAAACTGCCCAGGACTTTGGGCTGTGCGCATGCTGTTTCTACCTTGAAAACCAGCTCTTGCCCAGTCCTGTTCTCTGGGGTCTAGCTACAGTATTCCCTTGAGGCCTTGAGAACCACACCCCCCTCACCTGCAGGCAGTGACACCTGCTGTCTCTCCTGCCTCAAGTGCTCCTGCCCCCCTCAAACTCCAGCATACCACCCTTAGGGCTGCCTTTAATACTGTTTCAATTTTCAGATCGCTTGCATGACACTTTCTCAAGGAGGCTTCCCTCACATCTCCTCCACCACCACCCTCCTGCCAGCCTGGTTTAGAATGCCTAGGGTCTAAGGTCACTAGCATAGTCTAGTGTTTAGCAGAAAGTAGGCAATGACTTGATTACTTATTTAACTCATGGAGGAGTCCTTAGCCTTGAGTTCTATTAAATTAAGATAGCCACCTCATACCTCTGAATCCTCTGTTTTTGCCTGTGACCCATTAGAGTGCAGCTTAGTGAGCACCAGAAACCTATGTCAAATAGCAATCGCTGCTAATACACAGGAAGTCCCCACGTTGTCAGGGCAGTTGAACTTAGCAACATGCAGTTCTAGTCTAACTCTAAAATTAGGAAATCACCTATTTCCTTCTCTTTTCCTAAGCACCTGCATGTTTAATCATGCAGCAGCATTTACTATAAAAGCAGGTTTTCAAATGAGAATTTTTTGATTAATCAGATATTTTCCCTCACTTCCATTTTCCCCACCTTGGTGGCATATAGAAACACATCCTCTTTCCCATGACCATGGACCTCCTTACAACTGTCCGCTGTACATATATCCCATGCACAAATCTGGGAACAATCTTTAAGAAGTTCATCTTAGAACTCGCAACTCCCTGGGAGGATCTCCCTGCCTGGATTTCTATAGTTAACGGAAATCCAGCCATACTTATCACTCGAGGCCCTGAGATGTTTACGGTACTATAAATTTTAGGCACAGTTTCAAGTTCTCTGCAGCAGAAGGCAGGCTTTTCTGTGCATTGCGTACTGTAGATTCTGTTCTTAATTTAACACACTCTGCACACTGTGATTATGATAGTGGTAAATTCACTGAGGCAAGGGACAAGCAGGGCTGCAGATGGATATGAAAGGTTCTCTGGCATCTTTCTATAAACGTACGAGGATGCTGGCCATGATGATGGTGGTGGTGGTAAGGGGAGTTCCTCTGACTCCGACCTCATGTCTTTGGCAGGAGTTGAAATGAATAATAAAGTTGGGTTTAAGATTAGATAGAATACCAGAGCAGGGAGCAGTTAGAGGGAGAAGCGGTCTTATTTTAGGAAGCATGATGACTTATTTTTTCAAAATCTGAATTCCATATTCCCTTTTGCTAAGAATTGGTGGGGGGTTCGTTGTTGTTGTTTGTTTTTTAATAAAGTAAAAGAGATTTCCAGAAGCAGAGTTTAATTATTTAAATCTAAAAAGACTATCAGCAGTTGATTTTAAGGTGGCAAGGTCCTGCCAAGGCCGTAGGAGAAGGCTGAGGGGAACCTCCCAAGCCTCAGATAACTGGCCCGGAGGGTGTGCAGGTTACCTCCAGCGTGGGCACATCCGCCCTGCCCCTTGGAGAATGTTAACAAGCTACCCGCTGTTTTCCCTTCTGCCTCCACGCAGGACAGCTCCTGAAACCCTAAACTGCACAGGGTGTCACTCCAAAACGGAGAGATAGTAGCTGGTAAATTAGAGAAGCCAGAGGGCACAAGGTTGGGCTTTGTTTTTCTAGGAAAGAATGTGAAACTGGAGTGTCTGACTAGTGCCCAGATGGGGAGGTTCACTGGGTTTTGGGTAACTCATCCCCATGGGCTCTGCTCTGCTCTCAACCACACCTGCCAGAAGGGGTCAGGGTGAAGGTTGATGGACAGCAGTGCTGACCTGCCTGCAGCGACCTTTCCATGAATAACATCCAGGGCAGACTACAGATGTTTGGGTGGGGGTGCCGAGGGAGGGTTACTTGGCTGACTGGAATTAGTGCAGCCGCGTGCAAATTGCTTTTGTGGGGCTGGAGAGGCTGTGGCTGCTGGCTTCCAGTCACACAGCCTACAGGACAGCCCCTCATTTCACAAGAGCAGGTTTCTAAGGCATGATCTAGCCCCACCCCTTCTTCACAGGCAGCTGTACTTGGAAGCAAATGATTTAGTGTTCCTGAGAGAGGATTGTACAAAGAGAGTACTCATTAGAGGGGGCTCAATCTGTCAGGTGCTGTTATATTAGGATCAGAGAGTCATCATAAAATGACTTTCATGCTGGTCTTGGCTGATAATTAACTGCATGGCATTGCCTGAGTATTGCGGAGGGGCGCGGGCGCTGATTTATGCATCCGTTTAATTATATGAATTGAAAGACTCTGTTTCCTGTATGTGCATCCACTGCCTGCGTGCTTTCTCTCTCCCCCATATTTCTGACATTTGGATTTTCCCCCTACTAATTGACATGCCTGTCGCCTCCTTCTCCTGGTGTCCATTTCTGGAACTGCTATTTGTATATTGCATGATATATCAAGAAAAAAAAAACAGATCTAATTTCATGAAAATGCTGTTGCCATAATGCTCAGGAGAACAGGGGGAAGAGAGAGAGTCAAGTCTTCCTAATGTCTACCTTGTATGCAGGTACATTTTACAAGTTCTATTGTATTCTGACTTATTAAGCAGTGCATATTTCTTTCTTTTACATTAGCTTTCATTGCAGAAGGGGGTGGGGAGGTGAGACTGCTGGAAACTGACATGGGATTGATGTTTATCAGGGCTGCAGGCTTCAGAAATATATTACAGCCCTGGAATGTCCTAGGTATGAAAAATATAATGAATAACAGGTCAATTTATTATATTCCCTTTATATTACCTGAGAGAGACTGCAATAGTGCAGTGACATTTTCAAGGTGCCCCAATCCTCCAGTCTCCATGCGTAACAATTTGAAAAAGGGAAGGTTGACTAAGGCTGAGGTGTTGGGGATCAATTTCTAATCAGTTTGAGCTTTCACTTAAATATCTCATGCTGTAAAATCTTGAAATAAAAGCCTTCCCATAATGCGCTGTGAGCAGTTTCTGCATTAGTTTGTACAGGTGCGACCTAGGTTCCTTCACTATTACCTAGCTAGCCAGATATAGCTGGTTGCTTTGCTAACCTTTCATTACCTACTCTCTGATAATATTCTTTTCAGCCTCTGTGCTATTTTTTCTCTCCCGAGGCTTGTGAGCAAGGCTGTATCACAGCCTGCTCTGCCTGAGTAATTCACTAAGAAAGTCCCACGCAAACCCATGTGGGTGATAATATTTCATCACTTAAACCTCTATGAGCTCGGTGGACACATACCAAAGAGAGAGAAAAAGAGGTGCAGAAAAATGGGCAGAGAGAAATTTTGTACCTCACAGGGAATACCTTTGAAATGCTGCTGGGTGGGAAGGATTGGACAGGGGAGAGGAAAGATACCCGGAAGGGTGTTTGTAGCACATTTTTATTTGCTTTCAGAATTTTAAAAATGTTTTGAAAGAGCCAATCACAAGGCATGCCTAGGGTTAAGCAGCTAAGCCCCTTGTTGTTCCCTCCCCCTACTCTAGGTGGCAAATGCTGGGCTCATCCAGAAGTCCAGCATCTCAGATCTGTGAGTGTATGAACAGTTCCAATTAAATCAGCTACACACACATGCAGTGTTTCGATTTGGTTTTGTTTTCCTCACCAGGGTCCTGCTTAAAATATGTTGCTCTTTTGCATATGGGCAATAATTATGTCTCTAATGTGAATGTGGAAAGCCTTGTTGTTTAAAGAACATATTTAAACTTACCATGGGGTAGGGGATGGGGGAAGCCTCCCTGTAAAAAGCGTCTGTTCCTTTAATTTTCCATTCTTCATCAAGATTTCACTGTGCCTAGATATGGTATAGTCAATGGTAAGGGTATACACAACTACCACTTACAGGGTGCGTTCTCTGAAGCTCTAACTTTGCATTTGGACTGCTTCCAGGGGTTTGTGCAGAAAGCAGCAAGTGAGGTCTTAAGGTCATTCCGCCTTCGACCTACAGTAGAGGATCTTTCCTGCAGTAGAACTACAGGTTTGGCCATAAATTATCTTGATTAACTTTTTAGCTTTAATGTCCCTTCTTAGGATCCATTATTGATTTATAAATGCCAGCCACAAACATCCATCATCCATGCCTCTTCCATTAAAATGGTGATGAAAAAGGTTAAATATTTCGGGAGAAAGGGGTTTTAGGATCCTACAAGCAGCAAAAATTCTTAAGGTTCAACCCACAACATTTCAGAGACTTCTTCCAAAGTTTCTGAGAACTTTGGCACTTCTGATTTTGGACCTAGGAACCAGTCGAGTAGGAAGAATTCCGAACTACAGCTAGGAGATCATGTGCAAGTATTTGTTAGCAGAAGAGGGGCCAAGACAAATACATGTTTTCAAGAAAAGTGCCTGGGAAGGTATTACTGCAGTTCTTTAAATATTACAACTGACTTTCCACCCTGGCACCTCCACCACTCCCAGCCCAGTGCATCCCAACTGCACAGGCCGCATACCACTATTAACTTCTTTTCCCATCTGTCTCCACCATTTCTCTCCACACCCTCAGTTAGGAAACAAACGCATCCTTAGAAGTTGTACACCGTGTCTCCAAAGGCATTAAAGAAAGAACCACCTTTTCCCTCCCTGTTTGAAGTCACGTCATTTGTCACTGGTGTAAAGTGTTGATAAGGCAGGAAAACTAGGCAACAAAATCAGGGGAGACGGAAGATGTTTTTCTTACGGCCCGGGTGACCGTATTAGGGAGAGACTTGTGAGCAAATCAGTATCGCTGATGATTCATGGTCACATTTCTCCCTGCTCTGTTTTGTTTGCTTTTGAAATTTATCACTCGTCTGCCTTCCATAGAGCTCCGGAATGTTCACATGTATCACTAGAATTTCCATTTCCTTTCCTTCTGTCTCATTTAATGTATTACAGGTAGTCATGCTTCTCCCATATCGTAAATTCCTAACTTTTTCTGCAGGATGAGAGGGAGCAGGAGGTAACTGATAATCACCAAGATTAGGGCGCTACAGACAGGGGCTTCCAGCAGGCACAACTGCCTTTCCCTGGAGAAACTGACAAGGAGCAAAAGTCTTTGGAACGCGCCCTCTTGTGGCCGCTCTTCTCCGTTATTCACAGAAGAGAGCCTGTAACCCCTAAAGGCATCCCTAAGGGAGGGGCGATTCACAGAAAAGTCGGGAAGACGGGCATGGGATGGTGGGAGTCAGCTCCATTTAGAGATGGCTTTCTTGGAGTGGGGAAAATGGTCATCCAAGCAAGGCTTCTTCGACCCTTGTCGAAGTCGGCAGTGTCCACTTCTAACTCAAATCTTCCATGCATAGTATCCCCCAAGGGGTAAACTTTTGTGTTGCACTCAGTGACACCTAGGCTATGTGAGCACATCCATTTCTTGGTGTTTCATTTGTCTTTTTTTTTTTTTTTCCTATTCTTTCTACAACAAGTGCTATCAATTGCTAAGCTAATTACCAGAACCCACGTGCATGTTTGACAGCATATGGAGACTCAGAGGTACGTTATTATTATGTGCTGAGGACCAGCTACTATCATGAGTCAACATAAAATGAAAATAAGCTGTATCAGCTAAGAAGGTCACTGAATTTAGTCACTGACATTTATAGTGATAGGTGGCCTGGCTTTATTCGTTCCTTCTATCTTTCCTTGCGAAGGCCTCTATAGGCCTTAAGGTAAACACTGAGGGTTTTGTGCCAGCTGTGCAAAGAACACACTAGCCTTGGTGAGCAATCTTGGTCGATGTGACATACATAAAAAGAAAATTATTTTTGTTGGTTAGGATACATTTCAGGGAGTGATTCCCCGCTGTTTAGTCAATAACAACCTGCATCAGCTTTACAAAAATTGGGCACTTTTTACCTAAGCAGGATGGGACAAACTCAGCTAAAAGAGTCCAGAGAACTTGAGTTTTGTAGGCTCTCTGTTTCTCCAGCCATGCCCTGGCTTTATCCAGCAATCAAGGAGAGAAAAGGCCAAAATTAAACATAGCCTCGAATTGAAGAAACTTGGGATTGAAAGAGGCCGCTATGGATCTGCATCTGTGGCATGCTCACGGTGACAATGTCTAGATTCTTTGCTGCACAAAATGGTCGAAAGGGAAAGAAAAATACATGCTTTTTTCTATTCTCCAAAAACTCTTGACATTCCACATAGTTGGAATGTTATTAAAGTTGAATTATTCCAAAAGCAACAAGACATCGCTATTCGTGCTCATATATTCGCTACAGTCATTTGGATGATAAATATCTTTTCCTGGATTAGCGAAATCGGCAGCAAAATGCTCACATGGTTTTCTTCTTCAAGGGTAGACTGTCCAGATAGCAGTCATTAAATCTGTGAGATTATATTAAATTGACTTGAAGTAGATGTGTGAAATCTCTCAGAGAAAAATAGTCAATTGTAATAAATGGTTTCTAAGAATCAAAAGTCAAGTTGTAAAGTCAACTAGGAGTTTCCCATTACAAATCTTAAACTTGACTCAACGTGAACGTCCAATGAGTCGCTTTTTTAAAAATCGCTCATTTTCTTTCAAACTAAACACCTAACAGAGAAGTACAAAATGACAAGATCTCATACAACTGAGAGAAGACTGGCACTGAAAGGAAGGCCATACATAAGAAAGAATGTAAATGGTCACATTTTTTCACTGCCAAATCTCTAAATGCTAAGAGAGTGATTTGCTTTCCAAATCCAGTAAGTCAGAAAGAGGGGCACACTGATAGTAACGGTCCTGCGGGTAAAAGTGGTCAGAGGCATAGGTATACTTAGTTATATGACATGGTTAAAGCCAACTGGATAGGAGCTGCCATATATAAAGACACGAAGCAACCCTCTAGACCTCTGAAATCTGTTTCACACATGCAGCCAAGTATCATAAATATTCTCCTTTTTAATCTTATCCCACCACAAAAAAAAAAAAAAAAATTGAGAAGAAATGGCTGTCAACTTGAGAAGTTCTACCCTAGCTTTCTTCCTCAAAAAGCTTCAGAAGATACAGTCCTAATGACCATGCCTTTCGGGGCTGCCTTAAGAAACAGCTTTAGGGAAAAAAAGTAGACCTTCCCTAAGTGAGAGAGGCTGCTGGTGAGAGAGCCGACCTGAGAAGCTTGTGGGACACCAGGGCTTCTCCTATAAGGGGAACCCATGCTGCCAGCAGACTATCTGCACCCCCAGAAAGATGCCCAGGTCTTTCATGGTTTTCTTGAAAACAGAACATCTGAGTCAACAGGTTTTCAGGGTTGGAAATTCTGAGTGTTGCCTTGATTGTTTATACTGCTATGGCAAACTTTTAAACAAAAATGCTGGGAGTCCCTGCACATACTTTACTGGCCATATGCTCTACCAAACAAAACAATGGCATTCCTTTCAAATGGAGTTGGCAAAGGATGCGATTCTTTAGCCTGGCATTACCATGAAAGTAACACAGTATTAACACATCTGTGTGCCTGACACGCCTGGGCTTGCCGGCATGCAAAGGGATCTATGTCACTTCACTATAAAAATAGCCTGGCTCCGAGTCTACGGACCCACACTTTTGACAGGTATTGCTATTCAGCAACAGGTTAGTGTGGTCCTGAGCCAACGATTCGAATCCATTTATTAAAGTTCTTCCTCTTAAGGATTGAGTGAGTTCAGCATAGTATCTGAGAGTACTTTGTCAAGGTTGAGATTCTTGGCAGAGAGCTCTTAGTAACTTTACAAAGAACAAAACTGGTTGTTTCCTTTTTTTTTTCCTTCAGAGAGCAAAAGTCAGTGGCCTAAAAGTAACTGCTGGTTCTTTGGCAACTGTCCCCCAAAGTAGCTCTTCCCTGTCTAGAACACAGTTCCTGTGCACTTACAGACAGTTTCTAAAGGTAAAAATGATTGCCACTCATAGCTGTGCCCTGCTTCTCTGATGTGGCCCCAGATCGGGCTTTTAAAGGGGAAGGTTTGTTTTAAGGGAGTGACTTCATGTGTGCCATTCCGCTCTGATCCTGGCACACTCACCCCTCTACCCTCAATAAAAACTTTGGATGGGGTCCGGAAGCCTCCTCTGCTCCCCAAGCACCTGAAAATGCCCCGCTTGCATCAGGCTGCTCAGATCTGGTTTCACAGGCAGGGCAAGGCAGCCCCTCACAGTCTGCCTTCCAGCTCTACGTTGGCCCCGGAGCTTCCTCCCAGTGTGACCGGCTGAGTTTAGCAAGTATAAGCAAGTCATCTCCATGCAGAGCTCCACCGAGAATTCCTTTTCTGCAAAGTCCTCTCCCCCTCCCGCCTGCCCTCCGTCCACCGGTCCGCTACCATCACCTAATAACTAATAACCTTCCCAGGCAGTTTCCAGCTGGAGGGAAAAGAAGTTCTTCCTGGGACTGTCAAAGAAATATATTTACCCCCCCCCACCCCCCCACCCTCCTCACTCCCCCCCACCCCCTGCTAATGCCAACACCAACCTGACTCGGCAAACGTGATGATCTCCGAGGTCTGCTCCATAAGTTCATTCATTTCTGCCCTCCTTCCAATGTCATCCTCTATCTCCACATACCCGTTCTCCCCGACTTTGCCTACGTGAAGCTTTCTGATCGCGTTCAGAAGCGCCGCCTTGGGCACCGGCTGGGTGACATCGGGTCTCTTCTTCAAGTGCAGCATGTTTAAAATGTGCTTCTTGACGGCTTCCACCATCTCTGGCTGAGAGTTGGGTACATCCTTTGGGAGGGCGGCCAGCGCACAGGACGGACAGTCGGGGGCCGCGCCGTGCCCCTCGGATCCTGGGGTGGGGGAACTCCTCACTATAATCCAGCAACTTGCCAACAGAAATCCTCTCAGCCAAAGCAAGGGCATCCTGGCAGCAAAAGTTGTTGTGATTGCCTTTTTAAAAGGCCCTGCTTTTCCTCCCCCCTCACGCACAGGTTTTTTTTTTTGTTTGTTTGTTGGGTTTTTTATTTTTTGGTTTTTTTTTTTTTTTTCCTTCTCCTCTTCAGCAAATTCTCTGGAACAAGAACAAAAAGTTTTCTGTGAAGTTTTGTTTGCAGGTTGCTCTCTGAATGCAGTCAGTGCTGTAGGTTTGTGGCTGTCAGGAAGGAGAGTTCTGACTGTCTCCGAGTAAGAGAGAAGGAGGGAGGGAGGGAGGGAGGGAGACAGAGAGGGAGGGAGGGAGAGACAGGGTTGGGGGAGACAGACAGAGACAGAGAGAGGATGGGAGGGAGGGAGAGAGACAGGGAGAGAGGAGAGAGGGGGAGAGAAGAGAGGGAAAGAAGGGGGAGAGGGAGAGAGGGAGGGAAGGGAGGGAGGGGGAGACGGAGAGAGGGAGAGGAAGAGAGAGAGGGAGGGAGGGGGGAGAGAGAGAGAGAGAGAGAGAGAGAGAGAGAGAGAGAGAGAGAGAGAGAGAGAGAGAGAACGGATTGGCCCTAAGTAAGTGAGTGAATGGAGAGGGAGGGAGTTTGCTGTGAGTAGGGCTGTGATTAGGGAGGGAGGGACAGCCCGTTTTCTGACAGGCTGCTCTCCTTCTGCTCTTAGCTTCCTCACAGACACCTCTCTTCAAATATCACCATTTTCGGGGGTTCTACTTTCCCTTCTAAAATAAATTCTCCTAATTTTGTTCGCTATATATTTTTTTTTTTTTCTTTCTCTGCCCGGTTTCCTGGTTTCACCTTCTTCCTTTTTTGGAAGGGAGGGGGAAAAAACCCCAAACAAATGCAGTGTCTCAATCAACAAGGATGACTTGATTGAAAAAGTCTGTCCCCATCGCCCCTCCTAGCCCCTGCCTAGCCACAGCCCTAGGTGGTAAAATGCCCACCTAGCCACACAGTGGGGCAGAGGGCGCAGGGAGGTCCGGTGGACAGGTAGTGGAGGTCAGGGAAGAGGAGTCCAGGGACCACGGAGGTGCCCCGGCCAGTCGATTGTTCTGGCCTGATGGGATCCAGGGGAGACGTTCTTTTCCCCCATTCATTCATATTTAAATGTTCAGGTCCTCAATACTGGCAGGCGATCTGACGAGAGCGCAAGGGAACTTTTGTTTGGGGGTCATATAATACACTCCACTCTTCCCAACTGTAAAATGCAGCTGGGCACTGAAGGACCAGCGGGCAGGCAGCCTGTCACAAGCCCAAGTCCCAGAAGCGCTCTCCCCATCCCCTTCAGCTGCCCCCTTCTGCCCGGGACCCACTCACTCTCACACATCACAGCACACCACCGCTCGGACTTCACAGATAAAATGCAAAATTCTCTTGGCCTTTCCCACATCCTTTTATAAAAAGAGTGCACTCGTATGACTTGAATAACTGGTCCTATGGGAAAAGACTCTCTAAAATATATTGGCAAATTATTTTTCTCTGTCATGTGGTAGTTTTTTCAGCTTGCCTCGAGCCTGTCCCGACCAGTGCATTCATAGACAGCCTCCTTCACTGCTTCTTCTTCCCTCCAAGGAACAGTGCAGATGAAATCATCATGGATTTTAGTGTGCACAGAAAAAGAAAATTGTGAATTTTTTAACAATGCCTTTCTCAGGCTTAAAAAAAATTCTCCCCCCTCCCCTTTTTTTCATTTTCTGTCTTATTGCTTTTATCTTGCAGAAGAATCTTTAAGGGGTCCATCTGTTAAAGCGTTCCTTCCCTCTCGGATTCTTTCCCACACATAAGCCCTTTTGGTTTCTGAAGATACAGTCAGCTTATATCTGACACCTAGTGTGTTCATAGCATTATAGTCAAGCAATGCAGTTTAGGTGGAAAGATTTAATAAATATCATTACTACAAGCATAAGATCTGAGTGCAAGGGGAGGAAGGCAAGATCATTGTGACGCTGAGTTAACATTACAGTTTGCACAGGTTAACAAGGCTCTCTGAACTGGATATACTGTCCCCTTCTCCAAAACAACTCTTTGCAACACTTTTTCTGTTACAAGTCACGTAACACCTTTGGGGTTTCAGCTCCAGGAGCTCCAGTATCAATTACTCCACCAATACTGTTAAAACTTTGTCAGCATTGCCTAAAAAGCCTCATATTTTTAGTGGGGGATGGTGAAAGAGAATGGGGGAGGCAGGGGCATTTGTGATAATGGTTTCATAAAACATCTTTGTGCCATAACACTAAACATCACCCACCTATTTGGAGTCACACATACAGCACCCAACATGTTTTGTAGTCCAGTTAAGTTTTACAAGAAAGTCTGAAATACAACCAAAAGTTTAATGACTCTAAACAACTCAGGAGTCCTAATAGCAGCATTTAGATAAGTGCAACTTATCAATATTTGGATTCTCTCTGCATCTGAGTACGTGTGTGTTCCCTGAATTTACTGTTTGCGAATGTAACTCTTAAAAATAGCTTTCTCTTTGGCGTATGTACTCGTATATATGTGCTGAGTGGGTTGTATAAACACATAATCTATTTGCATGCTCTAGGACTATTAAAAGCTATATTAACCTGCCTGAATAATATAAAAAGGTACAAATCACAATGCACATTGGAAATGCCAATTAGTTGTAAAAATTCCTCCTAGCTATCCTATCTCTGAATGTGTAAAGAGCTCAGAAGTAAGAGTTAAAAAGCATTACCTTTCTGGTCCCCACTCTTCCACCAGCCGGCTCTTGTATCATGTGGTAAGAGCTGTCTGAGCTCCTCTTCATGGCATTAGCACTGTGAAGTTTTATACTGTACTACTTATTTGTACACTCGCACATTGGTACCACTGAAACAGAGGAGGGCTGGGGCTTTGTTTTGGATTGGTTGGAATCAGCATGACATCAGCGGATGACTGGTTTTTCCAGTGTGACACATTTCATAATTCATTATCTAATGGAAAGCCCTTCCTAGCTTCTGAGACACTACTGGGTGCTGCAATGAGCCAGTCAAAGCTCTGGCTAGGATTACTCTACCTTTTTAGAAAAAGACTGGAATCAGATAGATATGTCTCAATGAGTGTGTCCAACTTTCAACTTTTCTTCTACTACTTGCACACACGTCTCATTATATTCAGGTTCAGTTTTATGTCTTTACATAAAACATCTGTTACTTCATGAAGTTGCTTCTATTTACAAAGTATTTTATTGGTTCTCTCAGGGAAGAAAATTGGTAGTGTTCTTTATGGGGATTCTGATTTTATTTTATTTTTTAAATAAGCTATTTCATTGAGGAAAAAAATGGGAAAATCTGTATAGTCATATGATGATGGTCTCCCCCCTCCACCAACTTACACTATTATTTTACATCTTGAAATTGAATGCCTGCTTCATAAATCATTTATCACCAAGAACTTTGGAAATAGTCATTCTCTGTAAGTGAACTTTATAAGTATCCTTCCCAGGTCTTTGGAATCTCATCCTAACTAACCACACACACACACACACACACACACACACACACACCAACAACAACAAAGAAACCCTCAGGCATCTTTTTTTTTTTTTTTACCAGAACTTCAACTCCTATAATTTCTAAATTGTTACAAATATAAGGTGAGCTTAATGAAAAGAAGCGAACACCCCTTGAAATAGGGGTAAAGCTGGTCGGGCTTTTTTGGGGGGGAGGGGTGTTGGCGAGTCTGGTAGGAGGAGGAAGGGGTTCTGGGACAAGAATAGTGAACAGTTGTTTGAAGGAGTATAGTTGAAGCATAAGCCCAGTTTTCATGACAAGTTGGATAAAATGTACAAAATTGGGAGCTAATGAGAGCCATATGACCAGATATGTTGTTTTGTATGCAGGATTTAACATGCATAAAATAAACTTTTCACTGTGCCCACAAGCAAAATATAGAGGCTCTGGTCTCCTGATGTGTGGCTTAAGCAAGTTCCATTAGGACACCAGAAGTTTTCTGGGTAAGAGGGTCTCTCCTGGCTAGACACAGAGAAAGAGTGGGTGTTGAGCTGCATGGGGGTGAGGGGGAGGAGTATTCTAAGAACTGCATATGCAGAAATGAAGTAGGAAAAAAAATCATTAGGTTGTAGAGGAAGAGAGTGAATCTGAGTGGCAAGGACAGAAATAGGATTAATGATGGTGAACTCCAAACCTGCCCCTCCGTTTAGCACTGGCTGAACTCAAACCCTTTGTAAGAAAGGAACTTCTCCACCCTTTTTGCTGAGAACTAGTGGAGTCAATGACCTTCAGGGCATCTAAACTCACCCTGTACCCCACACATGAAACCTGGTGTCCTGAAAACATCCCCTCCGTCCCCCCACAAAGTGGTGTGTGTATGTTTGTGAGGGTAGGTGATAGTGGCGGGGTGGGTGGGTGGGTGGGTGGGGGAGGATGCACAAAACAAACCCAGATCAGATCCCAGTTCTTCTGTTCACTCATGTGTAAACTCAGGCCTCAGTATTCCCATCTATAAAATGGGATCCATAATATGAACCTGTGTGGGTCAAGTGCAGCGATCAGATAATAATAAGTGACATTATTTCTGAGAAGCCTGGTGGCTCTTCTTAAACATGGGTGTCACAGGAGTCTGCAGCACTCTGACCAGAGGAGCCACAACACAAGTCGGTGACACCGAAACTCTGGTAGCCCTCTGATGCCACCAAGTGCCCACCTGCCAGGCCAGCCTACCAGGCGCGCTGCCACCCCTCTACCTGCACCACAGTGGCAACGCCTCCTCGCTCGGTGCAAATCAAGGTGGGGGTGGTGGAGGAAGCAGGCAGGTTAAAATAGCTTCTGTGGCATATTCTAGACTGGGAATCAGCTTTTGCCTGCGGAACTCAAGGGGCCCGGGGCACAAGCTGGTCAGCCCAGTCCTGACCAGAATCTCCTTCTCCTTCCTTGGTTTGGTTTCTCTTTCACTTCCCCCTCCCCCGGAGCTTCCCCGCACCCCAGGCCCTTCGGGTCCCGGCTTCTCGGCCCTGCTACTGTACCTTGAGCAGCACCTGCTGGCAGCTTCCAGGGATCACGCCGGAACGCGGCCGCTGCTCGAGCCCAGCTCGCGGGATGCCTGGAGCCAGGGCCAAGCCGGTCTAAGCGGCCGCCTCTATTTTTACCCTGAGCACCAGCAAGGGCAACTTCTTTTAAGAGCAGCTCTTGATTTTTTCCCCCCTTTTGGCAGCTAAAGAATTCAGGGAGGGGAAAAAAAAAATCACTGTTCAGTGAGTGCAGCTGGGAATCTCTGAACCCAGCCCTCAGTGCCAGGGACTGAAACCACAGCAAATGTCAGGGAGCGGGACCTGCGCAGGGGCCGGCTGGCTCCCCGCGGACAGAGGCGAGCCGGGAGCGCTCGCGCACCAGCCAACTGCCCCTTTCTGAGTGCGGAGCGCGGTCCTCCAGCGACTGCACTAGCAAAGTGGCCCGCTGCCACCGCGTTATTCA